TAGCTCAGAGTAAAAAAATCCCTAGACTACTCTAAAACTACTGCCCATAGAGGCCATAAGGAAAGGGGACACGAGGAGATATTTCATACATCCGGACCTCCAAAGTCATTAGTACCTGCATGGCCAGTGAGACGGGGACAGAATGGAACAACACCAAACAGACGCAAACGCTATGTACAAGTCACAGTGGCTCGTGCTCTGAAACTCCCCCCGGAGACCAAGAAACCGAAACCACCTGCCCACGCAGAAACGGAGGGCCACCCCTGCCTGTGAGCGACTCCACGTCCAGACCAGGGCTGCATGGTCCATGATGGAACTTCAGGGAGAGTGAACCCATCAGCTATCTTTCGCTCATTCTCTGTTTGTCTGGGGGCCACAGTTGGTGGTGCTCAGGAACTGCACAGGGCACTGGAGGTGGAACCCAGGCTAGCTCTGCATCAGGCAAGGGCCGAAACAACCCTACCTCTCCGGTCACAGACTTTAAGATCTCCATTTCACTTCTGGGGGATATGCTGTAGAAAAGTGGTTACCCCAGTACCCACGAAGAACCCCCAGAATGAATCAACAACTCCATTAGTTACTACTCACACAGGCAAGGCATAACCAAAGGGAGACGTGTGGACTCGCGGTAAACTGAACTTCGGTTTTCTGCATGAAGCCAAAGGACAAGATTTAAGAAAGGAAGTAACAGAGCTCATGCATTTCTTAACGCTTTAAAAGCAAGGCGGGTACACCTTGCACCAACATCTCTCTCTCTCTCAAACAAACGCCTCAAAAAATGCCTCTCTGCCCAGAAAGAACTGCCCTCACGGGCACGCACGGAGGGGAAGGGACAAGAGGAGATTGGCGTATGTCTGGAACTCCGGGGGTCAGGGTGTCTTCATCTGGACGCCCGGTGAACAGAACATGAGAGAGGCAGAAGTCACAGCACCTCCCTACGCCCGCCTACACCACGCGACCATCAGCTGCTGCTACAATGGCACAGGTGAGCCTCAAATCCATCCACGTTTCCTTACTGGCTTCAGGTGCTGTGGGAAGAACGCAGCACAGAACAAATCCAGAATACAAAGAAGCAGCTGATTCACCGCTAGGCACATTCAGTACACGGCACCCTCTCTGACCTCCACCCAAACTACCCTAGTGCCTACAGCTCAATCAGGCAGGAAGAAGAAGGGGAAAGTGGAGTTTTGTCAGACTCTGGGCCTCAGTTTTCATTAAGTACCTCTGTATCCTGCAAAGAAGCCCACACAATGAAGTAAAACGAGTAACAAAGAATTAATCCTTTGTACAAATGAACCTTACACACACACACACACACACACACACAGCCTTGTCCCATGATCAGTTTGAAAACCGCAGACACAGCTACCCTAATGAGACGCCTGCATACCCATGAGAAGGATGACGTGCAAAACAGAGCGACACTCTAAAATAACAGAAAAAAACACTTACACACTTAAAAAAAAAATAATACTCCGCTCACCCACCTCCCAATACAGCCTCTTTCCAAAATGAAAACCAACACAGAACAAACACACCTTGTAGTTATTGTCCACAAAGTATGACAAAAAGGGAAGGGAGAGTAAGAGATTTTCAGAGGAAAAATGTTTTGACTTTTTATCAGGACAAAAAAATATAAAGTGGAAAACTCTAATAATATTTTTAAAAAGGAAAAAAAAACATTATGTACACATAAAATATACCTACATCCAAAAAAGTCTCCCAGTGCAAGAAAAGCAGTGTAAGCTACTGTCCATGCAGACAGCACAGGGCAGTGGGGAGAGTCACGGGCCTCAGTACTTACGTGCCAGTGCAAAGGACGCGACTCAAAATAAAAGGCGGCAAAAACACAACTGCTCATGGACAGGACGGACGGTGTGTGAGGCATTCTTTAGGGATGGATCCCGCTAAACAGGATGGCAGCAAAGGCCCAGGGTGGGCACAGCTGTGGTGCCAGGGTCTCTGGTCTGAGCCCTGTGCAGAGTAGATTTGGTTCCAGTGACTAGCACGGCACCCTGGACTCCACGCTCTCCTGCCCCCAGCACCCTGGGACAAGGCATTTCACTCTGCTCTGCTCCGTGGGGGCTCCAGGAGGGCAACGAGGCCGAGAGCAGAGGAAGGAAGTGGCACCCGAGCCCCGAGACACTGCAATGTAGCCCTGAAAATAAGATGCTGTGGGTGCACTGGCAGTTTTCCCGAGAATAGGCTCCCCAGCCAGGGAGCTGGAGGGCGCCACCCACTGACGGCCTGGGGGGCTAACACTGACTGGGCTTTCATGCCCCCGACCATGGGGAACAAACTAGACCCCAAGGGTTTCCACCTTTATCACCTCTCACATCTCCAGACAACAAGCTCTTCTCTGCCAGTTCCATCTTTCCTTATTATCCCATAAGACGTGCCCTGCTGGTTCCCTTCCAGCAGGCAGTCTCTGCAGTGGACACAGAACCTGCCTCGGCTCGCAGCAGTGTCCTGGAGGGATGTGCTTACTTCAAAGCACCCTTTGACTGCCAGGCTTCCACCGGAAACACAGGGGCCCATCCAAAGTCTCGGGGGACACACTCACCCAACTAGAAGTTCCACACACTACTAAATTTTGACTCCTGATTCAGTTAGTTTTGAGGATTCGCACAAAGTCCTGGGTGTGTTAGCAGAGCACTAAAAAAGATGGAATCCTGTGGGAACCTTGGAGGTGAGACGGGATGACCTACAAATAATTCAGAAGAGGTCTACAACTAAAGCTGCCCAGGGTGCAACCGGTATCAGGGGAATGAACGACTTTTGAGTACAAGACGGATCTGAGTAAAGCAATGGGCCGAGTTTCTCTTCTTGAGCCCGTGCAGTGAAAAGGGTTTTACTTGAGAGACTGCCCCCAGCCCCCTCATGGGAACTTGCTAGATGCAGAGTGAACACACATCACAGAAGCAATGCACAGATGGGTTGGTGAGACAAGAATTCTTAAGCTGATTTTCAAAGAGTACCAAAATCTAAGCTCTGTATCAAAGTGGTATTTAGTAATATAATCCGGTAGAAAACAAAAACTAAATCAAAAACCTCCTCAAAAGTTTAGGATTTTTCTCTCACTCGACAAATATAAAAAGCACGCTAACTTGCAGTATCGACTAAACTATCTATCACTCACTTGCTGAATCACAAGATGGATAAAGACCTATGATCGCCCTGTTTTCAGGAAGACACGCCTGGGCGATTCTGTGATCCTCAGAACTTTCACTCTACAACAGAGATTCACGTTGTTTAGAAAAGACTAACTGGGGCGGTCACACAACAGGATGGAAGAAGGCTACCGTTCAGCTTGCTTGCTTTCTGAATTTTGTTATACAAAAATATTTTGATAAAATAAAATTTAATTTTATATGCAAACCCACACATTCTCACTTAACACCTGCGGAATTAAGAAAGGCTATCATTGTCTGATCCTGTGGAGTGTGGCAAGTGCTCACACCCGGGTAGCTACTCTCTTATGTACATAGAGGTTCTCAAACAAAATAGTACTCAGTAATTATTCAGGAAGAGAGTTTTTCTCCCAAGAACCAAGGAAACAACAATCCAGGTAGAAGTCTGCATAGCTCAGAAAATTCAAGTACAGTATTTCTCCTTCAGAAGGATAAAAATGCCAGGCAGTTCTGGGCAGCTTCCCTCATTTATTTTTTCTTTCCTTTCTTGGCCGTTTCTTTCCACGTGTCAGTTTGGCCACGACAAAAAGAAAACTTAAGAACTGTTTTTGATAGTACAAAAAAATTCAAAGCCCACCATATTGAACCCGAATCAAGTTACACCTGTCCCACGTTGTCCTTATTCCTTTAAGGTACTATGGTGAACTCCAAATAAAAATGTTTTTATTTTCCTCGAAGACTCTATTTTAAAATATGCTATTTTCTATCATATAAAATGAAACTTCATCCATGGGCATGACTGACAAAGCGTGATCTAGCATACAAGAAGGCGACAAAAAAATTGCGAAAATTCTTCTCACAGTGATGAAGACAAAATAAAAAAAGCACTAGTATGAACAAAATAGTTGCCATAAATGTAGAAATAGTTCTCTATAATAATATAAAGCATATATACGGCAGGGTGACAAAGGTGTACAGTTATGAAGAATGACTCGCTAACCCAGTTTGGGACTTTTTTCCTATGGTAGTGCTATGATAGATGAGAAAGAAAAGACTGAAAAATTTAGTCTTTTATAGCCTTGTTAGCTTTTCGATACAACAAAATTTTAAAAATTCTGTAGCACCTGGCTGTTCCACAGAAAAGAAAGTGACTTTTATAGACCTTATTTAAACTTTTCCCAGAAAAAAAAGGGTTAACCAAGAGACCCTCCTACGTAGCTCTGTGCACCTGGGGCCAGCTCTCCATAGCGGCACACACTCCGCTGACTTCACTGTCAGAATATTTGGTTTTGGGGCACACCCAGTCTTGGTTTTTGGGCCACACCCCATAGTGCTCAGGGCACACCCATCTCAGTGCTCAGGGGTCACTCCTGCCCGTGCTTGAGGGGCCATCTGGGGCCGGGATGGAGCCCAGGGTCAGCCGTTGGTAAGGCAAGTGCCTCGCCCGCTGTCTCAGCTCTGGCCCCAACAGACTGTTGGGAGCCAGTTTCTGTATCACATTCAAATGACAACAAACCGGCAACCACAGAGCTGGTGGCCCCAGTGCAGAGAGTTCCTTGCTGTACTGTGGCCCTTTCGAGACAGACTTTCTAAGAACTGAGAAAGAGAACAGGATTCTCAAGCAGACGCCCACCCCCGTGCCCCCTGCCCCCATCTGAGTATCTTCAAACTAGAAAACTTACTTAATATTTCTGTAGATAGTTGGCATATAGGTGAAGAGAATTGTATCATAAACAACTACATACAAAGACAATTCAGAGAAGACAGATGAAAAATCCAGACAGGCCCTGAGCTAACTAGGACTCCGAGGAGTGCAAACGACTTGACAGTGATCCTGGCTTCACACGGTGGCTTTTTTTTTTTTTCTCCCTCTTTTACTTTTTTTCCTTTGTAAAAAGCAGCAGAGCCAAAGTTATGAAGCTCTCAGAACGGGCGACATTGTGAGGTGCAGTTGAACATGCTACAGCCACTTCATCAGAGTTTTAAGGTTCTTCTCCACCCACTGGATATTCAGCTGAATGACCTCCAGAGCCTCCTGGACACAGCGCAGCCGGAAGGTCGCCTCTGACTGGTTCTCAAAGAACGCCTGGACCTGTAAGTTGAGCATAGGCAAGAATTTCAGCAGAAGACGGTAACAGTGACTCTCTTCTTCCCAAACAAGCCTTCACTGAGTGGTGACTGTGCCAACGTTTTAAAAGGAAAACAGCGGGGTGGAGTGACAGTCCAGTGGGCAGGTCACTTGCCTTGCATGTGGCTGACCTGGGATCGATTCCCAGTACCACATGGTCCCGAGCACGGCCAGGAGGGATCCTGAGCACAGTCTGGAGTAAGCTCTGAACAGCATCAGGTGTGGTCCCCAAACCAAAATAAATAAATTTTCCTTTCTTCAACAAGGCTGAATTTTTAAAATTCAAAGATTAAAAAAAAATCCAAGTAACAGAACTAAGGATTTAAATTAAGTTTGCCCAGTTTTACCCATGGCGTGGAGTTCTGCAAAAAATAATTTTATTACTGGGGGCTGGAGCGATAGTACAGTGGGTAGGGCGCTTGCCTTGCATGCTGCCAACCCGAGTTCAATCCCTGGCATCCCATATGGTCCCCCAGGCACCACCAGGAGTGATTTCTGAGTGCAGAGTCAGGAGCAACCCCTGTGCATCACTGGGTGTGACCCAAAAAGAAAAAAAAATATCACTGCTAAGAAAGAAATGTGGCTGACTTGGTTTACCGGTGTTGATTCAAAAGTCATTCATATCAGAGACAAAAGAACACTGCTGAGAATCGTTCCTCACTACCAGCTGGCTGCGTTGGGGAGAAACCCTGCAACAAAGCAGGGGCAGCAGGGATGGCCACAACCAACTCTCCTGGACAGAGAAGCCCGCAGGCGGGGGTCCCAGGCCCATCACCACGTCATACAACCCACCTCAGACAAATGTGTCTTTGTTGAGAACAGGTGAGTTGATCCAGCAACGATGCTTTGTATGGTGTAAGAGCCCAGGTGGAACCTGCAGAAACAAAACGGGAGACAGAAACACGTGACAAGCACGAGGCAGCAGTTGGGGACGGGGTTCCCGGGGGCAAAGGAAGCGACTTAACGAGAGGCGCAGGGGCCAAAAGCAGGGTGGAGCCAACGCAGCCCTCAGCACGCTTAGTGCCCCTGGGGACGAAGGGCAGGCCAGGAGGGCAGGTAGGAAGGGCACTGGGCAAACCACAGCCCCATCCGCCTATTCGCAAATGCATCAGACGGGCAGAAAAGTGGTCTCTGTCTGCTCTGAGAACGAGCCGCAGGGCAGCGGAGCTGGTCGTGGCTTCCCGACTGAGCTTCCAACACACTGGTCCACAGCAGCGCTGTGCAGAGCTGAGTGCTCTGAGGTCGAGCCAGTCCGCCTCCGGGGGTGCGGGCGGCCACTCTGTTAACCGACTGGCCCCACAGAGGACGCAGGCAGGGGGGAGCTGGGTCTTTCTGCTCCGGGGCCCGAGGGTGTGGGAAGTGGGGAATTCTCTGAGAAACTTACTTCTGCACAAGCTTGCTCCAGTTTTCCTTGACAAAATCCCAAGCCAGGAGGTGTCCAGGAAAACGCCGGCCCACCATTCGGATGATAAATGACAGCTTCTGGGTCCGGATGGTGTCGCCGCTGAGGCTGCTGTTCATTAACCTAAGGGCAGAGCAGACGGCGCTGTAACAAAATCGTTGGTGACAAGGGGAGGCCCTCACGAACCCTTGATTTGATTTCAGCAGGCGGGCGTACGATGACTCCTGGGGAAAAAAATGGGGCTGTGTGATGTGAAGATAAAGATCTATTTTGGAAAAAAGGTTAACAATTCACATTTTATCAATACTCATTCGTCCCAGGTAACATTCTTAACTCTTGCCGTAACAACGCTTCAGACAGGCCTTTGCAGGAACCGGGGGGATCAGACAGCGGATCAAGTGCTTGCCTCATATGCAGTTGACTCGGGGCCGCCCCCCGCCCCCCACCATGGTACTGAACAATGCAAGGAGTGATCCCCGAGAACTGCTGAGCCTGGTCCCCAAATCAAATATTACAAAAAGAAAAAAACAACCCCAGGCAATCACCCAACCCTCCTCCCCCAAACAAACAGCTCTTGGCTACCAAGCCCAGCTTTTGAGTTTAGGGAAGAGGCCACATCACTGCCAATGACCACTTCAGGCTGGCCCTGGACAGAAGCAGGTCACATGAACTCTGCTGAAATGTCTGCTAGTAGCAGCAGAAACAGACCTGCAGAAGGATCGGACAGTGACTGTGACAGGTGGGGAAACAGCAGCTGTCCACCAGAACACGGCAGTTCCGCCAGTGAAGACAGAACCCACCTAGGGCCCCCCGGGCTCATGGGAACCAAGGAAGGCGGTGCGAGGAGCCGGGATGTGAAGCTTACAGAGCCGGAGCCGCCATGAAAGGAGTGTCAAAACCCCTTGGGTCTGCACACGCTTTGGTCGGTATATGGAGATTCCCGGAGCACCAGCAGAAACACAGGTGGGGAGGAGCCCAGAAGCGATGCCCTGTTCTGCTGCAGGAAGCGGGCCTAGCTGGGCTCAGGACATCTCTGGGACACTGAGAGTGTCCATCTGAGTAAAAACATCCAAGGCAAGCACTGAGGCCCAGGTTCCTTCATCCAGTGAGTCTGAAGACCCCCCTCCCCCCCACTCCAGGTTTCCTCACCGGTTCCCAGCTCCCTCTGGGGACTGCTCTGTCCCCAGCTGAGTCTTAGAAGGCCAGAAAAAGCGCACAGGGGCTGACACAGCTTCTGCCTCTGCCACCACATGGCCGGCTGCCTGAGGGGTGGCATTGCGGGGTGAGGTGCCAGGTCCTCGGGCCTGGTACTGAGTGCGGGGGAACCAGATGGCGAGCATGGGGTATCCAGGCAGCATCTCTCGGAGGCTGCCCTCTGCCGCCGCAGCTCCATCTCTGCCACTGTCTGAGGCTCCCAAGCATCGTTGCGGACACTCATGAGCACAGCCAGGAGCAGATCCCAACACCTCCAGGTGTGGCCAACCTGCCCTGGGCCTCTGAGGCAGCCGTGGGGAACCCTACCCCGTGCCCGTCTGCCAGAGCCACATGCGAGTGTGACAGAGCCGGCACGTCCCCCGTGCGGAAGCACAAGCATCCTGAGGACAGCTGGGCAGGACAGGGCCCAAGCAAGAGCCAAGCATACCCGAGAATGAAGGCAGGAGGATGCCGGGCACCCGGAATCCCGGCCCCGTGGGCAGGTGCCTTGCGCCTGTGGACAGGGTCTGCCCCGAGGTGAGGTCCAGCAGCACCTCACTGCCTGGAACACCGTGGCTAGGCCCCACCCCATGGCACCCCTTTCCAGGCAGACTCCCGGTCGCTCACTCCCGGGTGCTCACATACCAGTAGAGCTTCCGCACATCGTCTGAGCTGGCCAGAGCTGCCAGCACTTTACTCTTCTCTCTCTCCGAGGTCATGGAGACATACTTGCTCCTGAGGAACGCCCAGCCCTGCTCAGTCTTGGCTCCAGCCTTGAGCACAGTGGTCATGACATCGGTAGGGAGGCTGCAACCAAAGCCACGTGTGAGAAGAACCAGAACAACTCCCGACGCCTGAGGCAGGACAGCGGTAGCAGCGGTGGTTGGGGGCTGGGGAGGAAGCACCCGTTGCCATGGGACCATGGAAAAGGACGACTGCATGGCTCTGCTTTTCTGGGGGCAGGGTTCTGAAGAGCCTTGGTTCTCTGCACCACAGAGGGGAGTTTCGGGGTCCCTGCGAAGCAGCAGGTGAGAAAACGCTCAGTGGCAGGAGGGGAGGGTGGAGGATGTTGGGCACTGGAAAGGGCCCCAAGGACGATGGACAGAGTGTCTCAGACCGGCTCTCCGCCTTCTCCTGGTGTTTCAACATTGCGGAGCACTGAGCAGCATGGACCTGAGATAACTGGCCACCCGAGAACCACTGCTCCTCTCTGCTCACTCAATGGACATGTGGAGTCAGGGTGGCTTCCAGAAAAACACCACCAACCCCAGGACAACAGGGGCAATGAGGTGTGGAGCAACGGATGCATCATCAGTGGGAATGTAAAGGGGTACAAGCATGATGGAAAACGGTAAGGAACTTCTTAAAAAATTAAAAATAGATCTACCAGGGCCAAAGAGATGGCCCAGTGGTCAGAGTCATGCCAGGTGTGGCTGGCTCTGAAAGAAAGTAAAGTAAGTGACTCACAATGACGGACGACAGAGGGAACCCTGCAGCCCTCAGAACTATAAGGCCACGTCGTAACTGCATTACTGAGGCCAACTACTGAACTCTCCGTCTGGCTTGAAGAGCTGAGTGTTACGAGGAGTGGCCGCCAGGGCCCACCCAGAGCACTGTCTGGGACTTCCAGAAAAGTACAACAGAGACACAGCAGGGCAATATGATGCAGCAGTATCACTGCTAGGCCTGTGCATTTACAGGACTGAAAGCGGCTTCTCAAAGAGACATTTCTACACCCACGTTCACCAAAGCTTTATTCTCAGCAGCCAGAAGGTGGGAACCCAGATGTGTTGTGAGTACATGAAGAAATGCAGTAGGTACACACAGTGGGCCCTACAGGAAGGGGATTCTGACAGACACTGCACAGGGCAGAACCTTGAGGGTAAGAAAGCAAGTGAAATAAGTCCCTCATAATAGGCCAAGTATTGTCTGATTTCACCAACACTCGATATCTGGTAATCAAACTCAGGAGGCAGAAGCAGAAGAGGATGGAGGCTGCCGGGGACCTGGGGAGGGGTGAATGGGAATGCAGTGAATGGGTGCTGAGTTTCAGTTCTGCAAGATGGAAAGGTTTTTCTGTCACAGTAAAGGGGATGTGCTCAGACCACTGAGCCTGCCGGCCAGAGATGGATCCTTCCTGGCGGGCGTAGGGGGGTTCTAAGTAGTGTCAGGATGGAGGAGTGGCCAGCTGCTTGCAAGACAAGCCCCTTCCCCCTGTACCACCCTCTCAGGCTACCCCGTCTATGCAGGCTCACAAGACACAAGACGGTGGCTTCAGCATGAGCCAGGTGAGGGAAGGGATGGGCCCTTGCGGAAAGGCATGTCACCTGTGAGTGCCATTGGCTGCCACCCAGCTCTCGAAGTGCTTCATGGCAATGGCGCGGCAGCCCCCCAGGTCGTGGGTGCAAGCGAACTCCAGCAGGACTGCCCGGAGCTCGCGGGCAGACACCGTGCCCTCATCAGTCCACGTCTGACGCTGGATTTGGTCTTGGAGCAATTTAAATACTCTGGTCTGGAAAGATAAAATGAATTACAATGGAGCAGCGAGAGTTAAGACAACCGGGAAAAACAGAATGCTTCCAGTTGGCAAACTTTACTTGAGGAGAAAGAACAAAGCGGGCACAGATATGACTCCTCCAACCCGGGACGGAGCCCGCGGCAAGAGAGGCTTTCTCCTAGCCAGGGGACACCGCCAGTCAGGGCACAGAAAGAGGAGGCGTCCATGCGGTCGGGAACGTTTCCTCGTGTGTGAAAAGCAGTTGTGCTGCTTTCCTGATGAATCATCATCTATGAAGACGACTCAAAGTTGGAACTTCTGACCTCGTATCGCCAAAATCCCCAAATCAGCACAGAAACAACATACTTCTTTAGTGATGGGTAAATGCTGAACTATTCCAAATATGGTATTAGAGGAATATTTAAAATACCAACCGGTTGGATGCTGTAATGAGTTAATCTAACTACATGAGCAAGAAAATGAGGCCCATAGGGACGGTGGTTATTTTTAGTATTTGTTCCCCCATCTCCTGTATTTTAATTAAAGGCTTTTTCTGCAGAGCCAGGGACAACCTAGGGCCTCGCAGAAACAGGCGTATGCTTGAGCACAGCCTCAGCCTCAGCCCGACACGGAAATGAACTCTTCTGAACTCATGGAAAGTCATAACAGTAGAGTGATACCATAAGCTGTTCATCTAGATTCATGGAATTTTAACACTCTTGTATTTGCTTTGCTTCCATGTGCTAATATGACACACATTAATGAAATATGCTATTTGTAACTGATTCTCATGTGGTTCAGCGAAAACCAGAAAAATAAATGCGCATGTATTTTTTTTAAAAATATGGCTTCATTTATTTTTCTGGTTTTCGCTGAACCACGTAAGTTACAAATAATATATTTCATTTATAAAGACTTAACATACAATTCTCAGAAATAAAAATATCCTATATAGCCACGATACCTTATCACACTAACGAAAAGCTAGCTCTTCCAGCAGCAGGACATTTGCCTTGAATGCAGCTGACCTGGGTCTGATCTCTAAGCTTCCCATATGGTCCCCAGAGCCCACCAGGAGTGATCTCTGAGTCTGGGGTAGGCCCTGAATATCACCAGTTGCAGGCCAAAACCAAAATAAATAAATAAATAAATAAACAAAATAAAAAGATTTAGAAGAAAAGAAAAGTTAGCTGTTCAATAATATCTACTATTCAGTCTACTGTTCCGGTTCCTTCTGATGGGATCTATTCTTAAACGCATGCTCATGGTATTAAACAACAACAGCTACAGATTCTTCTTCACCTCTATGCACAATAAGAGTGCAGAATCTGTCCCTAGTACGTGTAAATATTCAGGCTGTCAGCTGCCGTGCCTTGGAAAGAAACAACACACAGGACTCTGAAAGCTGCAGTCCTGAATGTCACAGAATGCAACACAAATTCTAATACAGAAATGCTTAATCTTCTAGGCATGGCCAGCATCGGGGAATAAAAATGAAACCCTGCCAGACCCTCCACAGCCAGAGCTCTCCGCACAGGGCTTTCCCCCACTGAACAGCCATGACCGTCAGGAGCTCTTCACCCAAGCGACGTAGAGCCTGTATGTCGGGCACCCTGCGCTTCCAAAGGATGCCCTCTGCACCAAAAAAATGAATAAATACCGGCTGCAGAGTTTTAAATGGCTGCTGGCATTTCTCAGTGGATCTCTGAATAGGACTTTGTGGAGATGACTGAGAGTGGAAGGAAGAATCTGTAAAGGGGAAGAACTCAGAGTCTATTTGCTTCTGTTGGTCTGCTATGAGCAGCGAGATCGGGTAAAGACACCTCGAGGAATGTGCGCCTGGCAACACTCTTAAGACCTGTAGTGAAGAAATCCTGCCAGGCTGACGGGCGCAGAGATCTGAACAGGTACCCAAGGCCACACTGGCACGGGTCGGACTGCAGTCTGACCACACAGACTCCAGAGCCGGAACAGCCGGCCCCATGCACTGAAGGGCCAACAAGAAGGAAAAGCTTCTTTTTACTTGCAAACAGAAACAAAGCAAGAATGAAGGGGGTGGGGTAGGGTGGGGAAGGAGCAGGCAGGGGCTATAACTTCAAGCATCATTAAAAGGAAAGAAAGCAGCAGTGATGGGACTTTAGAGGGATGAAGCGCATCCCCAGCTCTGAGTTGGACACTGAGGCGAGGCCGTCTCCCAGGGGCTGCTTTATCAAAGTCCCCAGGGACAAGTGCACCTGTGACCCCCGAACCGGTGTCTTCTGGGGGTCTCCAAAGCAGTTAATCAGAAACGCATTTCAAATGAGAAGACTCAATCATTTTGTTTGAAACAGAAATTTTCTGGTTTGGGAGATTTTATGCTGTTATTAAACACTATCTGTGTAAGTGATGCTCTATTATTCTTATTAATAAACCACAGCAAGTGATTAAAACTATTTTTCCGGGTTCTACATCAGTAGTTTTTTTTTTAAAATTCAAACTCGCTGAACAAAAGAATCTGATTTCATAAAGTGAATCAGTGAAGTGGGGGAGAAAACAGATTGGTAGGTTACTCGACCTTCAAAGTGGGCTGTGCAAAATAACAAAGAAAGGTTTATAGCATGAAATGGAGAAAGATACTCTTGTTTATGGTACGTATTACGTTCTGATTTACTGCCCTAATTTTACACCGAGACGCTCACGTAGTTTTTCTTTTTGAGTCAGCCAAGTTTCTAAAAAGGGAACTATCAGCTTTCATGGGTTTATCCCCACCAATCCCTGGTCTGAAGAAGAGACAGAGTTGTAAGTAATGAAACAGGAGTAAGATTGGGGTGCTAGCTAACAGATGTCCAACACTGTCACAACTCGAGTCTGTCTCAGACCCTACTGACGGCAACACCACAGCACACGCACAGTATGTGGGTCACAGTGGGGTTGCTGTTGCCTACAGAACAGACTAACGATGACTGACACAATGCTCTGGTGACCGAGAGCACTGGTCCTTACCACTGATGCATCACTGGGAGGCTGATGCAGACCCAGAGATGCAGCATCCTAACTTCTGCCGGCCATGCCCCTGTCAGACCCCAGCTCTTATTTCTGTGTTGCCTAGAGCCACACTCTTGAGCACAGACCTCATGCCTTGTGCTCACAAGTCATTCCTGGTGGTGCTCTGTGCTCATGAATCCTATGCGGTGCCAGGGATAGAACCTAGGCAAAATCTTTTTTTTTTTTTTGAGTCACACCCAGTGATGCACAGCGGTTACCCCTGGCTCTGCACTCAGGAAGCACTCCTGGTGGTGCTTGGGGGACCATATGGGATGCCAGCGATCGAACCCAGGTCGGTCGTGTGCAAGGCAAACGCTTTACCTGCTGTGCTATCGCTCCTGCCCCACAAAATCTCTTTTTAAAAAACATGCAATAAGTCTTACTTGCAAGGCAAGTGTCAAAACCCCCATCTGATCTTCTCTCCGGCCTTCTTTTGAGAGTTTTGATACCGGCAGAGAGGAGTTAAAGAGGAAGGCTCCCTCACTAGGAGGACAAATGCCAACTTTGAGCTGCCAAGTAAGAGAGATGTACAGCAACGGAAAGGCCCAGGTCTTAGACACACACATAGCCTTCCACTCTTGCCCTCTGGTCATCCAGTCCCTGGACCCATTGGGAAGCGTGTCGCTGAAGATCACCAACCTGCCCAGGACACTGGAACCCTCATCCGGGATGACTCAGCAGAAGTAGCCGAGAGTCAGTAACAGCCGGAAAACACGCAAAACGTCTCACTTCTTGAACTGAGCTGTGCCTGCTCTCAGAACAGGGTTACCTGGAAGCCAGAGCCAGGAAGGTGCTTCCAGGAATTCTGCCAGCGGCAGCCTAACCTAGCTGGGCTGCAACTGATAACTGCTGTTCTGCTTCCTGTTCCGTGATGCCTGGTGCCAATGCCATCCATCCCTGCAGAGTGTGGGCACATGCACCCACAATCTTCACTGCGACTGATCTGGGTTGATACAGAGCCTCTCAGCACATAGCCTTGTTTGAGGAAAGAGTTTACACAGACGCCATCAAGTCAGCGTTGAGTCCCACTGGATTACAGCAGGCTCCGAGCCAGTGTCTGATGCCCTTCTAAGAACACGGAAACAACAACTGAGAAAACCAGGGAAAAGGCCACGCCAAAAAGAGCAGAGAGAAGGGTGATACAAGGACAGAGTTAAGGAATATCATGGTCTGCTGACAGTTGCTGAAGACCAGGGGGGCACCAGGGACCAACTCTTCCCCAGGAGAGAAAAACTCTGCCTTTCAAGACTCTGGCCTTGGGCGTCAAGCTCCCAGAACCATGAATGGATAAATTCCATGCTGTTTCAAGACACCATGTTGACGGCCGTGGGCAGCTCCAGGAAACTGATGCGCAACTCCACCCAGTCCAGATCTGATACAGCACTGTAAGCATCCAACGGAATCACAGAACCTCATGATCAGAAACATGCTCCTGGGCCGACTAGAAGTTCCTCTTTTGGAAAGAAATGTCTAGAGCCACCTCACACCTTACACACAGTCAATTCTACATAGATCAAAGATCAAAATGCAGAAGGTACACCGAACAAAGTTTCCAGAAAGCAACAGGAGAGCTTTGATTGTGGTTGGCAGATTTCATGCACTGAGAGTCCACGTTGGCAGAGAGAAAACAAAAGTAAGCCATCATAGGAAACGATTTTTGCAAACATACATGATTAGCAAAAGAAATTTTTTTCTTTCTTGGTTCTGGGCTACAGGTGGCTGAGCTCAGGACTTGCTCCTGGCTCTGTTCAGGGATCATTTCCGAAAGAGCTCAGGGGACCACACACACACAGCGTGTTGTGTCGCACAAATCAAGCACCCTACCTGCTGTACTATTGGCCCAGATCAGGTAACTGGTTTTTAAAGGAAATGATAACAGTCACAATACCAAGACTTCTTTAGACATGCACTGTATCATCAATCAAATGACAGGATCAGTGAAAACTATTCATGCCAACAACACTAATTGTTCATAATGACCACAAGGAAATTCAATGGGAAAATTATTAATTTAGCAACATAGCTTTTTAAAAAATTCTTTTTACATAAAAATATGCCATGATTTGACTAGAGAAATCCTAACTTTCATGCGACCCCGTGTTTGCCATCAGCGTCAGGAGTCTGCATGTCGAGGGGCAGGAGGGAGGTCTCTCTTGGTGGTGCCTAACTAACGAGGCAACAAGGACGGGGCACAGTGGGCACTTACTACCAGTCTGGAGGCGAGGTCCTGATGTCCCAGTTTCTCAAGAAGGTCGTAGATGAGGCCCGTCTGGAACAGGGCTTCCGCGATGGGTGCAGTGCAGTTCTCCTTGCCAAGATACCCAATCAAATCAAAGGCCTTCTCAAGAGGAACCTTGCCGAGGCTAAAGTATGAAAGAACAGAGTAAGTGGAAAATGCAGACAGGGGCACGTGCCAGCCCGATGATGTATCTGCAAGAACTGGAACTGAAGCCTGGAGTTTTTAATTTATAAAGTATGACTACCTATTATTGTCTCTGAGTCTGTGTGTGACCCAATGTCACAAACACGGTTTTGGAGTATGAGAAATGACAGCCCCATCTTTATCCCATGTCACTTACACATTGCTCCTGACTCAGGAACAGATTTACAGCCTCTGAAGTGAGAAAGAGAAGGAATACTAATTTTGTTCATTTTTACTTATATTTACCAGGTGAGAGCAGGGGGCCTAATGATGATTTGAATGAGGGAGAAAAATAACTTTTTTTTTTGTCTGCCTTGGTATTTGCCCAAGACCACTGTGCATGTGTATGGTGGGGGCATTTCCTTGGTTTGCTGTGTTGCATTGTCACGCCCGACAGTCCTTGGGGCTTACTCCCAGTTCTGTGCTCAGGGATCACTCTGGCAGGGCTCAGCATATCCCATGGGATGCTGGGAATGGAATGTGTCCTGCCCTGCTGTCCTGACTCTCTGGCTATGGAGAGACAGCTGTGTTTCTTGAACGAACCATTTCACAGAAATCACAAATGATGGCAAAGATGATACAAGACAACTTAGTAACACATGAACACAATGTGAAGGTCAGGAGCAGTCAGAGGAATGAATACTTTCCAATGTTTTTTGTGCCTTGGACCCATCACCAGTCTAAACTGGGATCTTTCTCTTTAGAGCTGTCTACACACGAAGTCACTGATGCCCTTGGAGTGTAACGGCCAGGGCAGTGGCCAGGCAAGCAGTTCTCAGGGGCTCCAGCTCTCAGAGAAGACCAGCGAACCAATACTCAATATTCAATACTTCAGGTGCCAACAACTGCTACATGAAAGATATTCTTCCACAAAAGAGAACAAAGCCTGGACTCTCCGGGAATCTATTTAGCAAAATATGTGTCTGGACTGTTGGAACTAGTCTTGAAATATAATCTAAGATTTTCTATTTAACTGTTTGGTATGTTTGTACTCAATATCTCTAAGCAGATTATAGAGCCCCTAATGGCAAGGAAAATGTCTTATGTATTTTTTTCCCAGTGCTCCAAAATGAATCTTACTTAACAGGCAACAGCACAATTTTTAAACAAGTTTTCCTAGAATGTTCTTTTCCTCAGTAACGGTTAAAAGAAAAACAGAATCCAAACTAGGGGTGGAGGAGAGGGCCCGAAGGCCAAGTGTGCACGTGTTCGGGGTCTGTATGTGGGGGACCTGCGTGTGCCACCCGCCCATGTACCCCCGGGACCACCACACGGCATGGCTGAGAGCCACCCCCAGAACCCGGAGACCAAGCGCCGGCCCTGAGCACATGGACGTACGTACCCAGCCAGCTCAAAGATGTTGTTGATGAGGCTGGCCCGGTCCTGGTCACTCAGAACAGTGGGGTTCGTGTGCAGTTGTCTGATCAGTGCGTCCCAGCTGGCCTCGTCATAGTGCACGATGTAGTAGCCGCTCATGTCGGCATTGACTTTGATCCACTCCGCGTCCACTGTGAGATTGATGACGCCTAGTCAGGACCAGAAAGGAGAGAGAGGAGGAAGCAGGGTTAATGAAACACTAAAGGGACGTTCCCTGCTTCGGAATTAATTGACTTTCATACTTTCATTTGCTGGCATCTAAGTGTTTACTTTTGAGAGCAGCTACTTCCAACAGAGCTCACCGTCACTGATTCACCAGCAGTGACTTGCCCAGTGGTGGCCAAGATGTAAACGCCAGCCACCTGCCGCTAGGATTCGCATGACCTAAGGCGGTCATGTCAGCTAGCACCATGCCCCCCTGACCGGCACAGGACTCATCACCACAGAGGCACTGTGGATGGGAGCACACAGGACAAATGCCCTCCCTGCCTTTGGGACATTACCTACAAGAACTGACACTTCCGGGACAAGCCGGCAAGAGTCAAGAGAAGAGGGACTGGAGCTCGGGGCCAGGAATGCGCACGCGCCTGGAGGCTTCTGCACAGGGAAGGGGGTGCTCGCCTGCCCACTCTGGCAGGAGCGAAGAGAAGAGGCCCACAGGATGTGGGCAAGTCTGGGAAACCAGGAACAAAGTCACTGACAAGGTTCAGAAAAAGGACAGTGAGTATGACCTGACAAGAAACAAAATCATGGCAAAAGTCATGTGATCCACAGTTCGCAAAATAAACTTTAGGGAAGAATGAAGTCCTCATTCGGTACTAGATGAAACAGCTGAGATAAAATAACTGCATAACTGAAGGGATGCACACTTTGCTAAACACATCTATGCACTGAGAAAATTCCTGAGACACGCATAAGAATGTCATGTATAACTTACTATGCATTATATAATTAGCATATTATGCTTTGCAATTATAGAAAATGCTTATTTTTGATAATCTAAACGATACTTATCCTTTATAGCTATATTTATAAAAATTAAAAATCAGTTTAAACATTTACAATGAACAATATAAAAATCATAACGACATACAATTAGGGCTGGAGCGGGTAGGGCATTTGCCTTGCATGAGGCCGGCCCGGCTGACCCGGGTTCGATTCTTCCGCCCCTCTCAGAGCGCCTGGCAAGCTGCTGAGAGTATCTCGCCCGCACATCAAAGCCTGGCAAGCTACCCGTGACGTATTCAATATGCCAAACACAGTAACAGCAAGTCTCACAACGGAGACGTTACTGGGCCTGCTCAAGCATGTCGATGAACAATGGGAAGACAGTGCTAACATACAATTAGTAAGGAGCTAAAACGCATGTGACTGAGACAGACTGCCACATAAAAGCTGACTGAAGCCTGCAGGAACGATGAAAGTCCCTAATCTGATGCTGGGCCTGACCGCGGCATGCGACAGTAGCATCAGCACTGCTGCAAACTTGGAACCTCCCTGACACCAGGACTGGCACCAACAGCCCGGACGGCACCAATCCCAGACCCTGGGGGTGGCTCGGGGACAGAAATCCCGCCCTGAAGCACAAAGCCCAAGGGTCAGCCTCCCGGCATGGCTTCCCAGGTCCTGTGGGGGCTGTGACCATGTTGCGCCCGCTGCCCTGGGGCTGGGGGTGAGAGTCCGAGGAGAGCCATGAGCAACACCAGAGGGCCTGGCCAGGCAACTGGGCTGCATAGACTGGCCGCTGCTGGTGACCAATGCCCGAGTCCCTCTACTCAGTGCCTACACTCCCACAGGCACTGTGGCCCAGCACATCGTGAGCTCTATGACTAAGTGTACGTGTGGCGCTGTCATGGGAACAGTGACCACAGAGGTTCAAGAAAGCAAAGGCTCTTTTTTTTTGGGGGGGGGGGGAGGGCAGGCCTGCTGATGCTCAGGGCTCACTCCTGGCTCTGTGCTCAAGGATCACTCCTGGGGAATCACACAGGGTGCCAGGATTGAACCCAGATTGGTCACATGCAATAAGCGCCTTTCCTCCCAACTTAGTACCTCTCTGGCCCAGATGAAGTGATCTTAGCAATACACTAGAAAACAAGGTCAGAGGCTTTCTCTATTCTTCAGGGAATGGTTCTACGCAACTGAAGGTTTACCTCTAGAGGATCAGACTATAAGCTCCACGATTCTGCACTTTTGTTCACTGCTAATCTCTCTGTCCCAAGAATAACGTTATTAGCAGGTGCTCAAAGAACACTCAGTGAACGAATAAAAGAATGAAATATCTGTATCATGGTAAATGGCTTCAACTCAAAGTCAAATAAGGTTTGTATATTTCAATGACGCAATCGTCCCTTTCCAGAGTGAAAAATATAAATTTTAAATTTATAAAAGAAACAATATTGGATTTGGAGAGATGGCACAGTGGGTAGGTAGGGCATTTTCCTGGCATGAGGTTGATCGAGGCTTGATCCCCAGCACCCCATATGTCTCTCAATCTCTGCAAGAGTGATTCCTGAGCACAGAGCAAGAAGTAAGCCCTGAGCACCACGAAGTCTGGCCCAAAACCAGAAAATTTAATTATATTAGTTAAGAAAAATAATCTGACCTTGACTATTACACTACAGACACAAATATTTCCTGCCAAAATGTTTCTATACATTGATTTGCTATTTCACATTTATATTTAAACCGTTATTTCTTTTACTTATCGGTCTATTCCCTGCCATCTTCCCATTATTTTCATACGTCAGGCTCAAGAACCTTCAAAAATTCTATTTAAAGGCCTACCAAAGTTTAGCAACTAATTTCTATTTGGACACATTTAGACTTTAAAAATTTTCACTGTCATCACTCGTTCTGGAATGAAGGTTTTCCATTCATACTTCATTCCCCTCATACTTCAGAATCACATTTAAATCCCTAATACCTAAAGTATTAGGGTCTGGCCATCTCAAAGGCGTACATCGGTAAGATGTATCAGATTCTCTTTTGGCCACACCCAGTGGTGCAGGGGAGAAGGTTGGGGGTCCCCAAATGTGGAAAACATAGAATCTAGTCTTTGCAGCCAACCCCCAGGCCTCTTACCAGATTCCTATAAAGCCTTCAATTCTACTGAAATCGGAGAAGATGAAAAAGACAAAAGAGTAAAAACTGAAATGGTAAAAGATGCTTCAGAAGAGTCTTAACATGACATATCAGATAACCATTTTTTTCTTCATTAAAAAATTCCATACTGAGTCAGGGTGTGGCTCAGTGGTAGAACACATGTCTTCCACATATGGGGTCTTACATCGAGAAGAGAAATCTACATTAACGTCCATCTTATTGCTGAACCAGCAACTTTAATAGGGCTTTACTTTTTCCCTTTTTTAAAGCAGAGAGTTGAAAGAACTACTCTGTGATAGCAACAGTAGCTGTTCAAGCCAGGGCCATTTTTAGCACGCCTATTCCTAACGGAACAGACTTCATCATAAGCTAATACAAAAATATCAGTGTGCTCCAATGTCCCGCAGAGCTCTCGCCAAAAGCAGAACCTTGGAAGGACTACAGAGCGCTGGACCTTCCTTCCTGCCCGCAACAGGGAGAAGGAACGACAAGGCGACCCTCCCTCCGGGTGAACAAAACATACTCAAAGTCAAGAGGATCTTGGTTGATGAGCGAAGTGCCCTGGAAAACTAGCCACGCCCAGGCGGTAGCAAGGAGAGCTACCCAGGGCCCCCTGGAGCCAGGGTGGGCGACCTCCGACCTTCCAGAAGCCCAACAGCCACACCCACCCCCTACAGTCCCCGCTGCCACGTAAGCTCATACCGGCCCTGTGCCAGATGCTCACAGATAAACCCCGAAAGAGATCAAGTAGCCACAAAAACTTCTCGGTTACCTATCCTCGCCGGAGAGCTGCAGGGCCATCTGGGGAGAGGGCGGCCGGCTTCCTGCAGCCGCCACCACGCCTCTCCTCTGGCCAGACTCCACCACCTCAGGACTGAGCTCCGCGGAGATTTGAATTTGCCAAAAATTTCAGGTACATGTTTTTTTTTTTTTTTTGGGGGGGGTGTTGTTTTGCTTTGTTTTGTCTGAAAACTCCAGGCCGTCTTGGAGTTGGTATGGGCAACCTCCTCATTCTGATGATTTTGTTAGCCACTGAGTGGTAACAAGCATTATAAAATCAATTACTGGGGGCTTGCGATGGGGGCAGGCTTGAGGAATGGTTGGGAACAATAGAGACAGTAGTGGAGGGAAGGGGACACTGGTGGTGGGACTGGGGTTGGAATACTGAGTGCCTGTAATAAATCACCACGGACAACTTTGCAAATTGCGGTATTCAAATAGTGGGGGGAGAGAAAGAGGTAAGACTCTTTCTCCATGTAGAGTCACCCCACTACTCTCTCTCTCTCAGGCAGTCTCATGATCCAGAACGTGGGACCTGAAAACCACAGTAAGCCAAAATCACCAAAAGAAGCCCAAAAGCTCTGCACACAAGGGAGGAAACTGTATCCTGCAGCTCAAACATGAAGAGGCTACTCGAGTCTGTTTTTAATTTCTTATAATCATGAACAGATCAACAGTCCGATTTTCACAGTCCATTGAGTGGTAAGAGTGAGAAACTCCAATCTGGAATGGCAGAAGCCCAGATGGAGTAATCTAATAGTGGTTTTAAAAAACCCTTTGTCAATGAGTTATGAAAAATCAGCTACCGTTCTTCATAAAGGGACATTAAAGCCCAGGGAAAAAAAAAACATGTTTTTACTATACAGCTACAACATTCCCTGGGAACTTTGCCTTAGATGCTAGCATGATATGTACAATTTAACTGCATGCCTCTCATCTAAAGCATTCCTTTCTCTAACACCTTTTCCTTCCTTATTTTACTCACGGGTGGGGAAAAGGCCAATGGCATATGATAGGTACCCTGATGATATGCCCCTTCCTTTCTTGTCCCCCCCCCCCCCCGCATCTTTCAACCCAATAAGAAACCTTTTCCTTTAAGAAAATATTTTTAGCATAGGGATATATATTCAAGTTATATTTAATGTAAAATTTTTCTATATGTCTGAGCAAGGTATTGATGAGAGGAGAAAAAAAAGAAATGAGTGAAAAGGAAGAGATTAAAATGAAGGCAATCTTTCTCTTTCTAAGAAAATTAACAATAAGGAAATTATTGTTATTCTTTCATTGGAAATGAAAGATTGTCAATTTCCTTAATATGTAGCTTGAACAGGTAGAGTCCTCTTATGCACAACTATTAACTATTCAACATTCACATAGGTGGGGAAAAAAATGACAGAGATATTAACTCAAAACATCTCTGTATCAGACAGAACTAATGGACTACTCCAGAAAATCCTGGCATTAGGACACGTGAAAAAATAAAGATTTAACAAATCACCAACATACTTGATTACAGGACTATACCAAAGACATAAGGCCAACCTCTCTGCCCCATGCCTGCTGAAGGAAGTCTGATTCTCAGTGGAGTGGTAGGGACTTAAGATCTTTACATCTGTGGGCTCAGTTACTCTTCCTAAGAACAGAACATTTCCAGGGTGAATTCTCAGAACTTAAACTGGCAGGAATTCAAAGATTAGCAGCAACCAGGGGAATAACACAGTAGAGGAAGCAAGACTTTAGAGAAGTACTCCAACTTTAGATTAGCCACTTGTATTGTGTACATTTCAAATATCCCTTTCAATAAAGTTATTTCCAATAAAGAGAAACCAAAGAGAGCGTTTTATCAGATCCTGAAGGATCTTTCCCCAGAGCGTTTTACAATGAATTTGGAAGCTGACTCACTTCATTAATTCACCCTATGAATTTGAGGGGGACCTACTAAGCACCAGTGTTACAACAGTGATTCACTTAGCCATGATCTCTACCTTCAGAGGGTCCCAATAGGGCTAAGATAGTCACTGTCACTGTCACTGTCCTCCCGCTGTTCATCGATTTGCTCGAGCAGGCCCAGTAACGTCTCCATTGGAGACTTTGTTGTTACTGTGTCTGGCATATCGAATACGTCACGGGGAGCTTGCCAGGCTCTGCCATGCGGGCGAGATACTCTCGGTAGCTTGCCGGGCTCTCCGAGAGGGGCGGAGGAATCGAACTCGGGTCGGCCATGTTGGCTGCGTGCAAGGCAAACGCCCTCCCGCTGTGCTATCACTCCAGGGGGCTCTCCTGGAAGGATGTGCCTGCTAAGGTAGTCATAGATGAAAAAGTACTGATATAGTATTTAGGTAAAGAAGTAGAAAATGAGGATGACATTTGCTCTGTTGTGAGTGAAGGAAGGTGGAGTAAGCACAGGTGAACCAAGAGCAAGAACACAAGTAGATCAGGGTATGGGGGCAGGGGACAAGGGTGCTTCTCCAGGAAAAACAATTACTGGAACCCGAGAAGAGACTAGACAATGCATGTCTGAGACGGTCAGTGCCAAAGAGGCCACAGCAGGGAAACAGGAATGAGGTCACGGCATGGGGTCTCAAAGAAGTAAGAAATGCACATAAAACCTAAGCTAAAAAGCAAAGGAGTGCCCATAGCAGACATCTTATCATCCGATTATCTCAAATCCCACCAAAACCCTCCACTGAGGATCTGTTAAACTCCCTTACAGATCCCTTTCAAGTAGGTGATGGTATTACTGGTTTTTGCTGAGGTCAGATGCCCTTCCAAAGGTCACTGAGAGCATAAAGTTTTATTTTCATCACAAATGCACCACTTATTGGTTCTTCCAATTACTCTACAAAGACATAATGGCATCATCAACTGTTCTTATTGTTTCAAACAATTAAATTGTTACTGTGACACTCTGAACTACAATAAATGCTTGTATTTCAATCAGCATTATCGACGGTTACTGCATCATACGCATGTATTATGTCTAAAGACTGTTTTATATCAATAGCCAACAATTACATAGCTCGTAACTATACTGGGAATTTTTTTAGGCGCTTCATACAAATATACATATCTGCTCTCAACCATAACCCCAGGAGGTAAATGAATCAGGATTTCATCTTATAACTGCGGGAATGAAGCTCAGAGTTTTACATAACCCCAAATTACACAGTTGAGCCAGGCTATCAGGTTCCAAGTCTGTCCCTTTAACTAGAGAGCTCTACTTCCTTCTCAGAAACACAGGCTTGAGCAACAGGCCTAAATTCAAGGAGGAACCCTGTCATCGATATGAGCATCACGAACATTGTTACCGAATGGAGAGCCTTAGGTCCTCCCAGGGTGTAAATTAAGATGATACACGGTGTGGTATTCATCATGGTACGGAACAGATGGCCGTAAACTATGTTTCAATTGCTTTTTATAACCTTGTGGTCAACATCTATGGCCCTTACATTTTATTATCCCCCTCTCTGTTATCACAACTTCTGGCCCCATTCTCTCATCACCAAAAAAATGTACGCTATGTCTGCAGGACATTTTGTAATAATTAGTAACTATAAATCTAGGTCATGAATCAACTTGCCTAAGAGCCATCCAGGGTGCTTGTTAAAATATAGCTGTACAAGTCTACTCCCCTAGAAAGCAGAGAGCAGAGCGAGATTTAAGAATCACACAACTCCCACAGCCCCTTATTCTGAGGAAACAGTGCGCGCCAAGGGTTCCCAAATGCAGCAGGGCTCTTTCCTCGAGGGACACCTGGGCACACTCAAGGCAACTGTTGATACTTTCACAGGCCTGAGACTCGAACTGTGCAGGGGCTGCCGATAATCGTGTCAGCCACGCCGCGTGGAAGGGACACCTACAGCCAGGCACTGCGCAGTGGCAATCACAACCTCCCTCTGCTGCCTGGACACATGTTTCCAATTTCTTAATAGAGAAAAATTATAGTCAAACCTGATTTCTTGTCCAGTAATGACACCAATCGATAATCTGAATAATTTCTTCCCCCAGTGACATAGGAGAGTGGAATATGCCACAGATAGCTGTAAGAAAGAGAATGTATTGGAAAATTAGTATTCCTTCCAGCATTTTCATCATAACCTGCTGCCTGCGGGGGTAGGGAGGTGAATAGTTTCAAGCTGTTCTCAGAAAGAGATAATCTTATTAGGTTTCACAGAACCTCTGCCTTAAACCACTTAGACATTTTAATCTGAGGATGCAAGAGAGAGGGCAGGGGAAGGAAGAGGACATGTACCTTGCGTCTGAAGGCTGCGTGTCAGGTTTCATATTTAAAAAGAACCTTTCTTGTTGGACATGGAGTTCCTTCCCTTTTCTTTGAACAGTCACTAAAGGAAAGCCCTTCTGCAGAGTCCACGTTTTCATCATCTTCTTTACATCTAGTGTTTTGTTGGTAATCTAGAAAAAAAAATCATTATTTTGCTTAAAGAGAAACAACATCTTAAAAAACATTCATGTATGATTGCTTTGTCTGTACCCTTCTATCTTTCCCTACTACATGTGACGGAAGCTACATTTATTGCTAATAATAAAAATAAAGGGGCACAAAACTGAGCTGAATTTTCATTTTTCAAACCAGGCGAATGAGCAACTGTTTAAAACCAAGTAATCTGGAACAGATCAAAGCGATAACCAGAGAATGACGCTCAGGAGGGAGTCTTTATTCATGCCCAGAGGAAGTTGTGGCAGTTCTTTTACACATTCCCTGACCATGAACAGTCTAGAAACAGGTACTGCAACTCATCCCTGTGGGTCAGCAGGAGTTTCTCTCTGTTACCTAGGACCTCTCCTTTCAGGTGCTCAACTTCAAATGCTCCAGTTCTTTCATCAAAGAACAAAATGAGGAGGTCAAGGTGTTGTGCAATTTAGGCAAAAAACACGACAGGAAGACTGGAAGGAATTAAGTCTAGTAAGAGAACAAGGTAAATTAAGTCTAGTAAGAGAACAAGGAATTAAGTCTAGTAAGAGAACAATGCTGAACTTCCAGTTGATCACAAACCCTCTTTTCCAGAAAACACAGGAACTTGTCTACAAAATCTAGATTCCAGTGAAGCTAGTCAAAGGCCCTCAACTGCCCACTGTCTCTGAGACGTCTGGAGCCAATGATTAAGACACAACCACCTGGAGGACCCGCTTGGGATGGGAGATGCATGCTGAAAGTAGACCAGAGATTGAACGCGATGGCTACTCAATACCTCTATTGCAAACCACAACACCCAAAAGGAAAGAGAAAAAAGGGAATGCTCTGCCACAGAGGTGGGGGGGGGGGGGGTGAGGTGATACTGGGGGTGGGAGGGATACTGGGATCATCGTGGAGAATGGGCACTGCTGGAGGGATGGGTACTCGAGCACTGTATGACTGAAACATAAGCACGAAAGTTTGGAAGTCTGTAACTGTATCTCACGGTGATTCACTAATAAAAAATTTAAAAAAAAAACAAGACACAACCACCATCTCTATAAAGGAGGGTGACCTAAATTCAAGATTCAATTATGTTTGTGGATCACACGTGGATTCGAGGAACAAACAAGTGAAATGATGGAGTGTTAAAGGAGTTGCACTTGCGGGACTGGAGAGGCAGTTCAGTGGGAGGGTGTTTGCCTTGCACATGGGCAACCTGGGTTCTATCCTCGGCATCCCATATGGTCCCCCAAGCACGGCCAGGAGTAATTCCTTAGTGCCGAGCCTGGAATTAGCCTTGAACAACACTGGCGTGGCCCCAAAACAAAACAAAACAAAAAATCCCCCAAGCCTCTGCACTTGGTCATACCTCGCTGTACTGTGCCAGTGCATGCCAGGTCAAAATGCAATTGCTCAATGAGCACTTATTTAAGAACAATAAAGAACGGCGCACCTCATATATCCGTTGTGATGTCGCTCTTACATGTTTCACAGCTATTGCCTAGTGATTTCTGGACAACAGCTTAGAAAACAAAGCCAAGTGAGGTGGTTCTGGATCGTTGAAAGACAATGAAACCACAGGCTACTGCATGTCTAAGGGGATGCTAAAACCCCCGACTATGATGTCAGGGACTGGGCTAGAATATGAAAACATGGATGAAAAAGCCGAAGTCAGTGAGGAAGGCAGAAATTACTCTAAATGTCAGGAGAAACTACAGAGAGTACAAAGCAAATAGCATGGCTTTCAACTAAACTGCCACTGTAAGAGGAATAACAGTGATTTGGAAATTACTTGCCAATGGTGACTGAGCTGTTTCTTTTCTCAAATTGAAGTCATGGGGTTGGGGGCTGGTGGTGGTGGGGGGAAGTGTGTCTTCTAGGCAAAGAGTCAATGGTGAGAAAATAGCAGATTTCAGAGACTGAGAAGCAGAAAGCATGCACGAGAGACTCAGAGAAGAGGTTCTGAATGCCATGGCCCACAGTATTTGGCCTCCGCATGTGCGGTGTGGTGTGTATGTGTGTTCCCCTACTACCCCAGATGTGTGCAGAATTTTCATCAAACTTCCAATATATCTGTGATCTCTCAAAACACTAAGAACCACTGGTTAAGTATAGGGTAAGGTAAGGTAAGGTAAAGGCCCTCCCGTTGATCGTCGATTTGCTCGAGCGGGCCCAGTAACGTCTCCATTGGAGACTTTGTTGTTACTGTGTCTGGCATATCGAATACTCTCGGTAGCTTGCCGGGCTCTCCGAGAGGGGCGGAGGAATTGAACTCGGGTTGGCCATGTTGGCCGCTTGTAAGGCGAATGCCCTACCACTGTGCTATCGCTCCAGCCCAAGTATAGGGTAGCAAACCCAAATGCTCCAGAAGTTTATGTAGCTGGCATTCATTCACCATTCTGACTTTATACACTGCTACAAATCACCTTGTTCATCAGAACACTTGTAGGGCCACCACAATCCGGACTGTAAAGTGTGACTCAGGGTGGTTTGAAGCCAGAGAAGTCAGCTTGTGACAGGGCATCTACACTAAAGGAACATGGTCACTAAGGGCAGAACTTGTGGGGGCAGAGTCCAGAAGAAATAAAATCATGAGATGGAGGTGGAAACCCTATGAAAGCCTAAGAAAAGGACGAGAGAGATACACAAAACAAGCAAGCCAAATTCACTGGGAGACGAATTCAGAAAGGACAACTTTACAATGGAGTAGAAAGAGAGACGAAGGGATAGAATCAAAAGTCATCCAAGGTCACAGACAAGGTTCTCCAAGCCCGGTGTTCCCTTTTTTTTTTAAATTTTATTTTAACTTTATACTGTATGAACTGTAGTTGCTACCATGGCTTACATATTTTAACAAATATAAATAGGAGAATTCTCTCTTCAAAATTTTAGGTGCTAAATAAAATATCCAGATGACTTACCTCATTAAAACTATCCCATAAATCATCACTCTGAATGGATGCATAGCTATGATTATGCAGGTAGAGAATAATCGTATGTTGAAATATATCTTCACTCATGTAAGTTTTCAGCATCAACAAAAGAGAAGCTCCCTATTAAGGAAAAAAAAGATGAGAAAGAGGAAAATAAGAGAAAACTGTAGCCATAGAATAAAGAACCTAAAATTCAAAATACAAAATACATTTTGTATTCCACAAAATGTAATATTCGTATATTCTGAAGTATACATTAGTATATACAGCCTGGTTATGAAACACTGCTGGTCTGTCTCATAAAACCAAATGTGGGCATAACTCAAAATTATTTTAAGTGATGTGAAAAGAAATTAACAGAGCAGATTTTTCAAGCGCATGAATTCTGAAGAGCCCAAATTCTGTTTGGTCTACCACTGTCTCAGTATTAGTGTTCAAAAGTTTAGTGTTTACAAATACATTTAGTAGAAAAACCTGTTCAATTTTCAGTGGCAGTACTGATCCAACCCGTGAATTCTCTGCAGGAGACGACAAATTTAGCAGCACTCCCAAAGACTGCTGGGCACCGCTCTTCCTTCCTGCTTAGTGTGCTGTGTCGCTGAAGTCCTATCCATCCTTCAGGGACCCTTCAGACACATTTGGAATCGGTATATGTGTGGGCAGCAAGCAGATGTCACCAGCTCAGAATCACGAGTGCTGTACTCATAGATACTCATGTCACCTCTAACCCTGAAGTCACCTCCTCTGTGAGGCCTCCCCTGATTCCACACAGACATCCCAGCTCTTCATCTTCAATTTACCTGACGCCCTGTAACTGTTCTAGGTATGTACTTTGTTCTTCCAAATTGTATGAGTGGGAAAAAGGCAAAAGGCTCTACTGTGACGATCGAAACAATGCCTAGACTATAGTGGGGACAAAAACAATTTTGAATTTCACTTCCAATAAAAATGGAGCAATGCTACGTCACCAAAACGATGAGATACATGTAACAGTTTAATATCTACTAATATCATTTCACTTCTCAAGTCTCTTTTTTGTACCCAACAGCTCCTCTTCTCTCCAGCACCGCCAGCTTTCTTCCCTTCAATAATCACATTAACAAGTGAAGTCCAGTCTCTGGGGACCCAGCCGTCATGCCCACAACCACCTCCTGCTGGCGCCAGATAATCTTGTCATCAGCCACCACCCAATTGCACGGCTTTCTCTCCCGGAAGGGAGCAACGTGACACCGGCCATAGCCATGCCACCAGACTCCATGCCAGGTTGTTTCACTTGGGGTGACCCAGAGGGGGGCGGGTGAGAGCCTTCCCTGCCCCAAGGGAACCAGCCCCAGCAGCCAAAAACCTCCAGAACCCAACTGTTGCCACACTCAAGGCTGCTCCCCACACGTTTGGGCCACGCCTCACGCACAAGAGAACCTATTCCTGGACAGTGAAGCCGCATAAGATATTCCCTACCCATTCTCCAAGAGTATCACACCACATTTGATGGGGTTCAAATAGCAGGCAATCAATCACAGAGGGAAATACACATATATATAAATATATACATATTTATATATATGTATATATTTATATATGTGTATATATAAATATATACATATTATTAACACATTATATGCACATTAATTATATGTGTATATTAATTATATAGCACAGCGGGTAGGGCGTTCGCCTTACAAGTGGCCAACACGGCCGACCCGAGTTCGATTCCTCCGCCCCTCTCGGAGAGCCCGGCAAGCTACCGAGAGTATTCGATGTGCCAGACACAGTAACAACAAAGTCTCCAATGGAGACGTTACTGGGCCCGCTCGAGCAAATCGACGATCAACAGGAGGGCCTTTACCTTTACCTTTACATTATTAACAGATAAATATTTATTTTTATAAATATATATATTTTCAGATACATATATGAAAGTTCACATCATTCAATCCTTAACAACATGTTAGTTAGTGATATCCTAAAGAAGGTTTTAATGGCCCCTGCCAAAATAGAACAATCTTCACACTGTTTTCTCTAGGGATACTTTTTGGTAGCATTTTTAGCAGTTTTTCATAACAAACAATACAAAATGTATTATTTCAGTTGTGCCTTGGGGCAGGGATTAGGGTTTGGGATGGAAACATCCCAAATATGGGAAAGGGAAGGTATAATGGTGGTGGGATTGGTGTTTGACTATCAAATGTGATCAAATATTGTGAAATGCCTTATAAAAAAAAAAAGGAAAATAAAATTTTATTAAAAAAAAAAGCAAAGTCCAAGTCACTGTCCTCACTTGAATACGCTGACACTAGCTAGCACTGCCACTTGTGTCAATAAAACTGCATTCATGAGAGTGTGCGTGCGGTGGACAAACCCAAAGACTTACATGTACTATTACATGTGACTCAACCAACTGAGCCATATCCCAGGTCCAGATATAAACTTTAGAACTGAAAGCACTGCATGCAGCACTGTCCTTTCATTGTTCATCGATTTTCTCGAGTGGGCACCAGTAACATCTCCCTTATGACACTTGTGGTTACTGTTTTTGGCATATGAAACACGTCACGGGTAGCTTGCCAGGCTTTGCTGTGCGGGCGAGATACTCTCAGTAGCTTGCCGGGCTCTCTGAGAGGGACGGAGGACTCGAACCCAGGTTGACCGCACGCAAGGCAAACACCCTACCTGCTATGCTAACTGAAAAACAATGTAAAATCTGGAATTGAAAATTCTAACTTTAACAGAACAGAGACGAGAAGGAAAGAATCAGTGACCCCCAATATAAAGAGTCCTCATCATTAATCTCCTCCTCTCCTTCTTTGAAGTTTCTACCTATCTCAGCACTTCCAAGTCGGGATTTTTCACCTTTTATAGAAGTACTTTAAGCATTTCTTGCAGGACTGGTTTGGTGGTGATGAATTCCTTTCAAGTACGGTTTCTTTCTCTTTTCTTTTCTCCAAGAGTGCTTGATTATTATTTTAAATATTTATTTAAACACCATGGTTTACAAAATTGTTCATAATACAGCTGGTACAGGCTTTCAATGTTACAACACCAATCCTAACCATCTGAGTGATCTTCCCCTCCCCCCAACATTGTCTCAACCTCCCCCCCCCCCGACTGTCCCCTTAGTAGGCAAACAATAATTTATTTTATATTGCTTATTACAACTAAATGATGAAAGGAATTATCAAAAATACTTCAGAGAGAGAGAGAGAGAGACAGAGAGAAGCCATCCTGCCATAGAGGCAGGCCAGGGTTGTGGTTGGGGGTGATGGGGAGGGAACCTGGGGACACTGGTGCTGGGAAACGGACACCGGTAGAGGGACGGGTGCTGGAACACTGTATGACTGAACCCTGATCATGAACAGCTTTGTAAGGGTCGATCTCACAGTGATTCAATAAAACAAAAAACAAAAACCAGTGGCAACAAAGCCACTGCCACTACCCAGCTTGGCAAAGCTCCTGGCTATTCTGCAAGTAAGATTTCTGCCCCGTCTCTCTCTCCTCCTAGCTGCTGTCACGTGAACCTGCTTTCTCTCCTTGCCATCCCCACATCACTTCAGGTTAGCTTCGTTATTTCCATGTCTTTTTGCATATATAACTGGATTTCCACGATTCTACCTTCACGGTCACTGATCTTTTTCCAACGTCTTCCATTCCACTTTGAAGCCCATTCTAATTTTCTATTCCACCCCGGTATTGTTTGGGTACTAAGGTTTCTGCCTGGATTTCCCAGACGTCCTCTCATCCCATCCTGGTCTCTCCCATCATTGTCCTATTCCAGCAGGCATCACTAGGCCCACGGCTCTGGAGTTTTCCTGAGGCAGCCCACACAGCGGGAACTCTGCATCTCCCCCAGGGACCATCCCGCCACAAACTGAATAAGTCTCCACACTCCCATCTTTCATCACATGTGCAGTCCCACACATGCCTGGGGAGGGGGGCGGGGCACAGGGTCCGGATGAAGCAGCACTCAGGGGTATCTCTGGGCCAAGTCTGAGAGGTGTGTGGTCATGCGTGCCCGGGAGCGGCTGCCCAGAGTCTGAGAGGGCCTGGCTATGGCCAGGACTTGGAGGCCCCCCGCAGACAGCAGCCCGTCTGCAGGCCCAGGTGGCTTTATGGGGAGACCCGGCTCTCAGGGAGCTGGAGAGAGTGAGCAGGCCAGGGGAAGGGCAGCTGGCTCCCCGCTCAGAGGCCCCAGGTTTCAGGGACACAGACTGCAGCTCACCCACCACACACAGACACGGACTGGGCTGGAGAAAGCCCTGCAGGTCAATCTGTCTTGGGCAGCTCAGCCACAGTACTTGTCTTGATCTGTTGGTGACGGAAACCCAGTTGCAGTGGCCAGTGGTGGAAAAGGCCATCAGCAGTGCCTGCCAGCTGCCCAGGCCCACCATTACCCTCCGATGGACTTCTGGCCACCCATCCCAGTGCTGCACACGCACACAGGGCCATGATGCCAGGAAGCCAGACTGAGCGACCCACCCTGGACTCCCAGGGTTACGCCTGAGACCTAGAAAAGCCCTTTCCACTTGCAGTTGGTTGGGCAGGGGCAGCCCTTCATCTCTCCAACCCATCTGTGTGCTCCCCTTCAGCCTCTGCTGCCAAGACTGCTCCACCACCTTGGGCCGTTCCCACGCAGGCTCATTCGAGCTTTGGCGATTTCACTCAGAGGACAGTACAAGTGCTCCCTATGACGCCCAGCATCCCACAACAAGCAGATACGTTAGAGGAGCTGAAGAATTCTCAGTAACTGTTTCCGTAACTCTTTTCTCTTACTCACTGAAGTCTCAACTGTCACCTTGACTCACGTGCTAGAGGAAGCGGAGAAGTAAATCCAAAAACGAGTCACACTGAGGCACCCGCACAGACGAGCAGATTTTCAGGTCACTGCCGGGAACATCAGGTCATCTCATATTCTTTTCAACCTAGCAATGATTGGGGCCCCAGAATCCCTCTCACTGTCTATACCACTTAATCACTTAACTTCCCGTTAGTCGTCGATTTGCTCGAGCGGGCGCCAGTAACGTCTCCATTTGTCCCTGTCGCGTGCTAGTGTAGCCCAATGGCATCTCTTCGCTCCGGGAACATGGAGGGCCTCAAACCGATCGTTCATGATCTTGACAAAGAAGTCTGACCATCTGGTAGGTGGGCGGCCACGCGGTCTCTTGACATCCCGTGGAATCCAATCAGTAACAGCTCTAGTCCAACAGTCGTCTTTAAATCTCATTACGTGACCAGCCCATCTGATTTTCGACACCTTGGCAAATGAGACAGCGTCCCTGATCCTTGATCGTCGACGGATGTCAGAACTCCGGATTCGTTCTCTCATTTGAGTGAAACGTGATATTCCAAGCATAGCTCTTTCTATTCTTCTTTGGGAGACCTGAATGGCGTTCTCATCTTGTTTGCGTAGGGCCCAGGTCTCTGAGGCATATGTTAATGCAGGAAGAACAGTGGAATCAAAGAGATGTGCCCGGAGCCGGAGGTTCTTCGCCCTCTTAGCTATTTCTTCGACGTCTATACCACATTCCCTATTATACTCCAGATATTCAACTCCTTTCTGGTATTGGAACACGTGAGTCTCTTATCAAAAGCTGTGTGAGGGTCCCCAAGACAGCACCCAGTTTTAAGGATGTATGAGGAAGACTCCCTATCACAGTGCCTTATGATGGTGAAAGATTGTACAGCAAAATCAGCCAAGGGAAAAGATGCATGAGATAATTAGGTATCGCCAAGAGTCCTCTCCTCAGGGAGCCTAGATGCACTTAATCCCTCCGTACAAAGTTGTGCCAATAAAATGTTGTCTAACCAGTGAGGTCCATTAAAACTGCGCATTTAGGATTGTTACTGGGGGTAAAGGTATCTTCTACTGAGCACATACTAAACCTTCAGACTCTCAGGAGGAAAACAGAGGGTTAACATCAATCACACTGTCTGAGCAATCAGTGCAGGCAGAGAAAGCAATCACTTACAGGGAATGGCGGGAACTCTAGGAATGCACATTCCCAGGCAGCAGCCTAGGGTTAGTCCACGTCCTTCTGGGAACAGCCAATTTCAGATTTATTTCATCTCTTCTGCATACAGACCCCATCTTTACTCCATCTCTCCCAAGCAGTATTGGAATATCCATGGTCCTCCTCTATCATCGCACATAAAACATTTCTCCTGCTGCTTTTCCCCACCATGCCTTATTCACCCATGAACACCACACTCATTCACTCATTCATTCATTTATTCATACACTGCGGCTCTATCTACAGGCCATGAACTAGAAGCTCTACCATCAAAGGAATACGTCCACCCCAGCGCTTAGAATAATGTCAGATGCACATTGGTATTTGTAAAGATTTGCCAAAATGAATGGATTCTCACCAGAAAATCTGCATTAGAATTCAAAGACAAAAAAAAAAAACTAAATAAAATATGTCTGAAATATACATTTCCCATACTGGTACTTCCTTCTTACAGACAACTCTGGCAAATTATCCTGCACATTTTTCTTAATACAGTGTGATAACTGCCACTCCCTAAGCAGGAGAAGGAAAATATTCCTTTATCTATATTCCTGAATTATTTTCTTTGCAGACCTCTCTGGTTCACCCTCCTCCCCAACTCCCCCCGCACCTTTTTTTTTTGGTATTGTGTCTCAAATTCAAGGTCTCCTGCATACAAATGTGTGTGTCGCTGGCCATCACTGACCCATTCTTGCCTTTCTCTACTATGCTCATTATTCTTCACTTCAAATATTGTTACTTAATTCACTTCAATCCCCACTCTCTCCCAAAGAAACTCTCACCATCTTGAGCAAAAGCACAAGTCTTAGTACATGCAAACCTCCTGGTGCTTCACCTGCCCTGGCCACCTGACCGTCCCGTTCCGGGCTGATGATGACTATGTCTCACATGGTTCATATATTTTTCTCCTGGTGCAGCACAGAAAGTCAATTACAACTCAGTTCATCTAATGGCCACAGGAAGAAGACAAACACACAGTGATACTCATTCCTCCCTCTCAACACAAGTGGAAGAATCACTGACATCCCACTCTTCCACTCCCTAACCTTCGGGGTTCCTAATCCACAATCGAGTTCTTTGGCTTTGCCTTACCCCAGACCTGGAGTCCATGTTCCTAATCTCCAATTAATCTAAGCCCCAAGTCTTGTCTGTTTTTGAGCCACACCTGGGGGTGCTCAGGACTTACTCGTGGCTCTGTACTCAGGGGTTGCTCCTGGCAAGCTTGGGCGAACATGTGTGATGCCAGAGACTGAACCTAAAGTAACTGTGTGCAAGGCAAGTGCCCTGCCTGCTGTAATATCACTCTGGCTCCTGAACCCCAAGTCTTAAAATTTCTTTCTACTTACTTAGTTTGGCAATTCTGATTTTAAAACATGACTCAATTCTGAAAAACCAGTTAAGTGCTTATTTAGACTATAACCCTTGTTATAGTCTGCCAATATATCTAGTGAATGAACAAAAATTTAAAAACGCATTATAATAAAATTTGGTTAACTGTTCAGAATACCAGAAGAATTTTAAATGAAAGACAAAGAAATTAAGATCAAGAGTTATAGAAGCAACCATCTTAAAATATAACAAAGAACCTGGAAATAGCAATTTAATCTTTAAAATAAACTCAATCATGCAGCCTGCTCACATACGAAATTTATTTAAAATCCACTCTAAGTTCTTTCATGCATTAGCAGTACCTTAAAATAGGAAAGAGAATCAAACATTTCTTCAATCTGTTCTGAAGAGCCGACAGGTGATGACAGTGGATGAGATGAATTCAAGGAGTCCTTCTTCAAGGTTTTGAAGCGAGCATCTAAGAAATCTTCATACTAGTGAAGAAAAAAAAAAGAGTATCAAAGGTTAAGGCCAGTGATTATAGAAATTAAATGAATTATTATGTTTCATTGTTAAAAAAGAAGCTCCACTAAACCTTAGAACCTGTTTTTGAAAATGTAGGAAAACTGTCATTCATGTATATCTTTAAATTGAAAAGTAAGATTTATAATTTCCAGCAATGTGAAAAAGAGCACTTCCTAAACAACAGAAGGCTGCATTAAGAATATTTCATTGAAGCAACCAAATGCCAAATCTGAATATTTAAGATGAATATTTGAGTAAATATTTGTACACATTTGAAAAGTTAAAACTTTATGCCACTGATATACCAAAGTATCTTTGTGGTAGAGCACATGCTTTACATATCCGACGCCGTGGGTGTGATTCCCAATAGCACAAAAGGAAAACAAAAAAAACACCTTCAATTAAAAACAACCAAAATCTAGTCCTTAAGGTGATTTGTCATATACAGTAGAGCTTTTTTTTTTTATTAGCGAAACACTATGAGGTACAGTTGTAGACTTACACATTTTTGTGCTTGGGTTTCAATTACACAGTACAGTAGAGCTTTTCAATTAAGATTATAAGCATTTCCCTCAACTGAGGCTCATCTGAAATGAAACTCTCAAACAAAAATACTTGAGTTCAGTAAAAGAGCTCCCTTCAAGTTTCAAACATTCTGGGCACCACCAAGTGGTAAAACTGTGCATCTCTTTGCTTAATCAAATAGCAAACAGATTTAGAGAGCCTTAAGCGTTCTGGCAAAAACTCATTCCTTCTACCACCCGAATTTGTCTATCAAGTCTTACACAAAAACTTCAAATGAAAGACGGAGTCCTCCTGTCCTACAGGTAACAGGAAGTCACTGAGTTCTGAGACAGAATTAAGTCTATGTTTTCCTATCTACAGCAGACGTGACTGGGCGGAATCTGTCCCAGGACAGGAAAGCTATCCAGACAGGAGGTTAGCACAGTGATCACAGTCTTTGCATGCTGGTACAGGATAATGTTCCAAGTCTTGGAGAAGGGCACAAAATGTGACTTACACTTAGAAAGGCAGATAGCTTGCCTGGAGTGACCCAGGGGGTCACTGTTAAGAAAAGGATCACAGAGAAAACAAGCATCCTGAGAAGAGGTCTTCATTTGTTTCTCCTCACACACAAGTTTTATTCTGCACAACAGACATTTAACTTTAAATTCTTATGAGCTATATATATTAAAAATAAGATAAAATAAAATTTAAAAATAAGTGAAAAAAAACTTCTAATACTCCAAATGCAATGCATTAAAAATATATTAAAAGTAAAATAAAAAATAAAATAAAAGATTTCTAGTACTCCAAATGCAATGAAAATACAGTAGATAAGATCTGACTATTTGCCCCAGCATTCACGGAAAACCCAACAAATTCTATACTTACACTGGAGAGGTCTTTAAATACTTTTTCCAAGGAGAAAAACTCCATGAAAGTGGCAAAACCTTCATTTAGCCACAGATCATTCCACCACTGCATTGTTACCAGATTACCAAACCACTGTGGAGAGAAAAAACAAATAATGATCAAAAGATTATTTTTTAATGTTTTGTTTTCAGATCACACGTGGCAATGCTCAGGGTTTACTCCTAGTCTGTGCTTAGGGATCAGTACTGGAGAGCTCAGGGACTCATATGGGGTGTTGGGGATAGAACCCAGGTCTGCTGCATGCAAGGTAAGTGACTTACACATTGTACTATAGTTCCTGTTCCAAGACCAACACAATATTTACTTTTTCAGGAACTTTCTAATAACTGAACTCTCAGATCAATCCCCTACTACTGAATAACAATATCTTAAAAATACAGTATGATTATTGTAAGTTTCACAAATATACTTTAAAAGTAAAATATAAATTTTAATATCTTGCGAAACTGAATGATAAGAGAAGCCAGAGAGATAGTAAGCGTTTAACAAACAAAAATACTGGTGTTCATGTTTTAGCTCTTTCTTAAAAGTATTATTTCTTGTATCGTGCAGATCTCCTTCCACAGAAAATCAAATAAGATAATTCTACAATGTATCTACCACCACTCACAGTAGATTAAGATAAAATTTCTGCGTAAGAGACTTTTCTATAGTCAAAAATTTCACACTACATACTTCTCGATTTTCACATGGAGGACAGTATGGTCCTCAATGGTTTGGTAATCTGGTAACAATGCAGTGGTGGAATGATCTGTGGCTCACTGAAGGTTTTGCCACTTTCCTGGAGTTTTTCTCCTTGGAAAAAATACTTAAAGATCTCTCCAGTGTGATGTGGGGAGGGTGTTTGCCTTGCGGTCGCCTGACCCACATTCGATCCCTGGCATTCCATCTGGTTCCCAGAGCACTGTGAGGAGTGACTCCTGAGTGCAGAGCCAGGGGGACCCTCTGAGCATTACGGGTGTGACCCAGAACAAACGAGCAAACAAAAAAGAAAGCAGGAATATAAATAATTCAGAACAAATGTCTCCTATGAGGTAATAAGGAAAAAAAAAAAAGCAAGGACAGGAAGAGTCTGAGGACAATGGAACTCAGCAGTCATGAATTCGTATGTGAACCAGGTGCCCCAACCCAGTCGTGCGGCCCAGCTCACGTCAGCAGCAAAGGGGGAGGGTTCTGAGGCACAGAATCAAGGTCCTTCTGAGAACTGCAGTAGCCTTTCTGGCAAAGATTCCATCTGAAAACCCATTTCGGAGTGCGATGATTGGCTAATAACAAGGCAGTAACAAGGAAATACTCCCCCAGCCGTTGATGGGTAGCCCAAGAAATGAGAGCCCTCGAGGGAACCCCCCAAGCCCACCTGGCAAGCACTGAAGACCATGCCAGGAACTGCCTTTCTCCTGTCGGCCTTTAGAGAAGTCTCCAGATTGGGGCTGAGACCTTCCTCCACGGTCCCCCTCACCACAGCACCAAACCCAAGCCCACCCCAACCTGCCCTACGCCAAGGGGAGGGCAGACGGGGCGCTGTGGAATGCAGGACTGACGCCCTGTGAGTTTCTCCTGTTTGTTCTCTGTGTCACAGGACCACACGTGAGCTCACCCTGGTCTCAGACGCCCCCGTGCCCCCCTGCAGACTAAGAGAGATACAGTTGGAGCAGCAGAGGAAGAGATCAACCGAGTCCTGGTGACTATAGCCCAAACGCCCTGAGAAGGAAGTGTGACATAAGGAAAAGGCTTCTTGCCCATACACTGCCACGGGGCCACTGTATCGCTGAGAGGCAGTGAAGCCAGAAGGGGCGACGGTGCCCCAATGCTGTGGGGCTCCTCCAGGTCTGTGCCAGCCTTCTCAATCGTGCCAGGCAGTGAGCTGACTTCTAGCTCCCACATCAGTAAACGGGATCGACTCCTACCTCAGAGCAACCGCAAAAATAGTGACTGAGGCAGCAGGTAAGAACACGCTTCATAAATGGTGGAAACTTCAACTGGACTTTTCATACGAAAATGAAACTTTTGCTAAAAACTTATTTTAGTAGGAAAGGTCACATATTTCGGACTACAATCAAAGCTCACTTTTTCATCTGAGCATCTAAATCTCTCCTACAAATAGAGCCTACTTCGTGCCACTGCTTATCTCGCAGGGATTAGACAGTAACAGCCTAGGTTGGCTATACCTGATGGGCCAGCTCATGGGCGATGATTTTCGTGATGAGTTTTCTATCAGCCACTGAAGAGGTACTATTGTCGCACAGAAGTGTTTCTTCTCGGAAGGTTATCAATCCCCAGTTTTCCATTGCTCCTGCTTCAAAGTCTGGAATGGCCACCAAATCTGGGTGCAACAAGAAAGAAATCAGGAGGGGAGGTAGCAAATTCATACTGTCCTCCTAACAAAGAGCGTGTATGCCGTTCACCTTCCCATTGGTTGCAGGGGGCTGAACAGACAAGAGTCCGAATTACTTCGTAAGAAATAAAGCAACTCCCCAGAGAAAGGACAGAGTGAAGTCAACTCTTTAATCTAGGATGAGAGTCAGCTCTCGTTTGTCCAGAATAACAGCTCCACATTAATGAGTATTGAATTATTTTGCCTTTCTGAGCCCCCAGGATGCCTTTCTTTCTTTTTTTCTATCAGGATAATATTAAAAGTTGACCAAACCCCAGACTATGCCCTGAGCAAACTCCCAGAGAGTCTAGAAGCTTCATGTTCAGGTCCATCCATGGAATCAGTATCACCTCAACAATCAGAAATGCCTACCGGCCACACCTTAACAGCAATGATACTCTGACGTTAAAAGAGCTATTTTAAAGCTCTGGCAGAAGCTCTTCTACGGAGCACAATAAAAAAAAAAATGAGTTTAGATTATGATGAAAATAAGATGCTGCATGATTCTTACCCAATTTCTTAAGTGGATATTGAATTTCAAAGTAGTTTTCAAAAAATTCGAGAAGCTTCACCGTTGTTTCCAAGGCATGGTTAACTTGACCAATCTTTTCCGGTATGGCATAGAGAGAAACCTGAAAGGCAACATTATGTATTTCTAAAGACAAGGATAATGTGGATGGCATGAACACTGCCAAGACTGGTGCAGCTGAGGAGTGCAGAACGGCAATGGAACACAGAAACTCTGCTTCTACTTTTACATTAGCCCCTACCGAGTTTCACAAAGCACCCCCATACATACAGCCACAGTACTGAAAACACTGACTGATACACTTTTTTTTCCCAAAGTTAACAACCAAGAGGCACTATTTTGGGTTACACTAAACAATTTATAAACATCTACCCACTTAACTCTAGACTAATTGCTCTCGTCTTCTCCATTACCTGAAATAGCCCATCCTTGCCTATGAGCAGTCAATAAAGCGAATTATTTGAAGGACAACATTAAACTTTCCTCTTGTAGTATTTATGACAGTGCCAGACTCTGAAAAACGTGTGTGGAGGTATGCACTCAACAGAGGGGACTTATGTAGAAAAATTAACAGGTACAACAGAAATTGTACATCTACTGAAATCGCCCTGGAAAATAAAAACAACTTAAAAACATTTTCTATCTCAGAAAGTACAGCACAGGGAGTTTTCCTTCTAGTCTTAGGTCACCGCCACCCCCCCCACCCCCCCACCCCCCCCCCGCAAGCTCTTGGTTTGTTTTCCTGGCCTATGTTGTACACAAACATTTCTACATAGTGACACAAATTTAGTTGGAGATCACAGCAATGAAATAAAACCAAATCTGGGCAGGGGATTCCTGGCATAGAGTCCGGTGGAAGCCCTAGACAGTGCTCATAGCTTACTTCCAGCTCTGCACTCAGGGATCACTCCTGGGGTGCTGTGGGACCGCGTATGAGGTACCAGGAACTGGACCTGTGTGGGCGGCATGCATCCTAGGCAAACACCCTATTCCCATATTATCGCTTAGCCTCAAAAGCACCTTTTTGTGCACGGGGGTGGGAATGGTGTTTGAATACTACCTGTAGTGAACTATTCTGAACAACTTTATAAAAATTAAATTAAATTTTAAAAAAAAGCAGCACCTTTTTTTTTCTTTTTGGTTTATAGGCCACACCCAGCAGTGCTCAAGGCTTCTTCCTGGCTCTGTACTCCAGAATCACTCCTTGTGGGCTTGGGGGACAATATGGATGCTACTGACCAAACCTGGGTGGGCAACATGCAAGGCGAACACCCTATCCAGTGTTTGCTCTGGCCCCCTGAAGTACCTTTTCTTAGAGGAAAAAGCCAAGCTAGAAAAATGAAGTTCCCATGAGACTGACTGCTTAGTTCCATTTCTGGAACACAAAGATTAAAATGCGCAGTTGGTGTTTTCTCCTTCCCCTTTTCTTCTTCCTTAGAAGAACATGTGCTATGAATTCTGACTAGATATAAATCTTTTGTTCATTATAATCACTACCAAGCTTGCTTTAAGAATAGAAGCTTACAAGTATGAAACAAACAAGTGGAACAGTCCAGCTTGACAAAGCAAGTCTTGAACAGCATTTCTGGCTTGGTCTGGGGATTCTAAGCACTGTTAAATAACTATCACTTGGTGCCCAGGTTATTTTCTTGCAAGATCTCTTGCCATGACCTTTAAGATATTTCTAAGAGACACAATGATAAACAGTGCTCTTAAAGAAGGGTTCTCTGAGCAATCTAAGGAGTAACGCATTTGTCAGGAATAAACTAATGGTCCTTTAATTTAAAGAAATTAAAAGAAAGATATATATTCTTATATATATTCTTATATATATTCTTTTAATTAAAAGATATCTATCTTTTAATTAAAAGAAAGATAAACAAAAGCAAAAGAAGCAAGCCTTATCTTCCAAAAGACAGAATTGTCCTATGGGTTTAAAGTGACATGAAACATGTTTCTAATACAAAGCCTCCAAAAACTATGAGGTTTTCTAAATAGCTGAATATCGGAAAAAAGGCATAAATCCCTCAACAAAACCACATGAAAAAAATGACTAGTATCAAGTCTATACAGAAAAACTGATGGATGAGAATTAGGTAAATTATATACAAAAATTATGTACCATGTTTCTAATTGGTGAAGACAGATTTGAAGTAGGAACATTTAAATAAAAATTTGGAATTAAGTCACATTCCTGACTAAATATGAGTAAGGTCACATTATCCCACAAGATGGGTAATATTCCTGAAGGTTCTGTTTGAACGTTAGATTTGTCTAATAAATGTGTGTGTGGATTCTGATTCTGCAAATTAGATGTATGGTAAAAACAAGATCAGGCAATTATAAAAACAAAACTCAAGCAAACAAATTAAACAGTGTATTTCAAAACTGCCTTTGAATTTTCTACTTAATTATAGTAATCCTAATCGTAGGAAATGTATTCGATGACTATGTATTCTTAAAAGCAGTAAGAGTTTTAAGGAACAAGAGTGGACGGAAGTAATAATGCAAATGTTTCTTTTCCCATAGACTTTGATGGTCTTTACCATCACACGAAATACTTTATTTTTTTTAATCTGTCAACCTTGGCACTTTTAGTCATTTGGCAATATCACGAAGTTAGTCAAACTACTCATTCCTGAATCTTGTGAAATAAGCGTAATGTCAAACATTACAAAATAGGATCCCTCTTTGGGATTACGACATTTTAACATAACAAAAATCCTTTTTCTGAACTTGGAACACTGAATGTTTTGTCTTATGCCACAGAACTCTCTCAGCTGGGAGAAGCAGCAGGTTAGAAAGATGTTAATAAGCGATCGCCTCAGGGCTGCCTCCAAAGTCTAACTCTACGCATGTTTGGTTCTTCTTCTTTTCTTTGTTTCATGGCCGAGGAGTCTTTATTTTTAAACAGACGCTTCTCATGCCACGAATTCCTAGGGAATGGGCCCAGCAGCTCGGGCTGCTTTTCCAATGGGTGGACTGCCGGCACTTCAGCGGAACCCGAGTTCCTTTCTCTTGGCTTCCTCTCTTCCTGATAAGTTTTCCTTCACTCATTACAGGAAGCTGTCTGGGCTCTTAGAGTGCTTAAAATGTTCAGTATGAATATTAATTCTCTTGGCAAGAATCTTGTCCTTGTTTCAGTATGACAATGCCAACACCACGTTGGGTACCACTGCAAAATCTTCTGGTTTTGCCATGGCAACATTTGTGGGGCATTCCTTTTGGGGCACTGCCCATACCCTTTACGTGTACGACAGCGTCTTTCCTGTAGATCTGCATGCATGTGGCCAAACGAACAACTCCATGTTTTCTAACGTACAGCAGGTGCCCTGCTCTTCCACTTTGTGTTGGTCATTTTTTTTTTTTGCAATATACTAGAAGATGGCAGTTCTGGCCAAATGGCTCTTCTCCATTTCTTAATAAAAATGTAATTTACATAATATTAATTTGTAAAGAACACATCTACATTTCTTTTCTTAGGAGGGAAGAAAGGGTCACACTCAGGAGTGATCAGGGATTTTTCCCAATCCTGTGCCCAGAAAGATGCCAGGGTTGAGCCCGCTCAGCCACGTGCAAAGCAAGTCCCTTGCTCTATACCATCCGCTCATTGCATTTCCGAGTAGCATTAAAAATGATGATTAGGTTTACAGACAGAGAAGCTGCCTCCCCGCCCCCCCCACACACACATACACACATAGCATACTTTCCATGGATAGGGCAGTGTACATCCTCTGTGTGTGGAAGAAAAGGCTGTGAAGGGTTTACAAGCTCTCTGAACAAGGACAAACAGGAGGAGGTGAAGAGGTATTCTGAAGCCAGGTCAACTCCAGAGTTCACGTTAAAATATCTTGCTTCCTAATACACACACAAATAAATTAAAAATTGGCCTGATATCCCTCTCTCTCTCTCTCTTTATAAATATAAACTTTTATTCATTCACTTACTTAGGAAGGAATGAGGTATATAAGTAAGCAAGAGATCACTCAGCTTTGTTAGTTGCAGGGATTGACATCAAGGCAGCTGGAAATATAGTCCAATTCATAAAAGGGACTTGATTTCAGAACGAGTATAAACAAGTAAGAGTCAACATAATGAATGAGAGAGGAGAAAGAGTGGGAAAAGGAAAAGAGAGAGGGAGTTAAAGAGAAGGGGTATCCCTCCCAGCCCCCAGCCCCCCATCCCACCCTGCCTCTGTGGCAGGGCCCTCCCTTTTGTTCTCTCTCTCCTTTTGGGTGCTGTGGTTTGCAAAAGAGGAATTGAGTGGCAATGATGTTTGGTCTATAGTCTACTTTCAGCATGGGGGGGGCATGGGGGGTAGGAGGGATACTGGGATTAGTGGTGGTGGAGAATGGGCACTAGTGGAGGGATGGGTACTCGATCATTGTATAACTGAAACCCAAGCACAAAAATTTGTAAGTCCACAACTGTACCTCATGGTGTTTCACTAATAAAAATTAAAAAAAGAGAGAAGGGGTTAAAAGGATCAAGATTGATAAATCATGTGGTAGGCAATAAAAAATTTCTGGAGTTTTATATCCAAGAGTGAGATAAGAACTATAACAGAGATTCAACTATTGTGCTGAGAGGGAGTGACCAATCCTAGCTGGGGACGAGTGACAGACTTTAAGGAGAGGACTGCTGTCAGCCAGGCCTTGAGAAGCAGCAAACTGGGCTCCTTTAGGTGGTGTCACTGAGGTCTTATCAGTGAAGCCAGGGCTAAATCCATGGCCTAATGTTGAACTGTAGTTGATTTTTTCCCTTTTCCTTCCAACTTACGCCAATCTTGGCATCTTTTTTGTAAGGATTCTGAAAACTTCTTCGGTTTACATTTGATGAAAGACTTTCAACTCAAAGATGAATAAATAATATTAAGTACTTACTTTATATGTAAGGTAAAGGTAAAGGCCCTCCCGTTGATCATCGATTTGCTCGAGCGGGCCCAGTAACGTCTCCATTGGAGACTTTGTTGTTACTGTGTCTGGCCTACAATTAATTACCTGTGAAAACTACTTGAATAATTCTCCATTCTTCAGGTTGAGTATAAGGGTAAAACAGTGTTACTTCTGATACTGAGATATCATTGGTGCCGTGCCTTATCTC